TGCGTGATGACTCCAGACGTGGCTGGTCCAGAGGCAGCCGTTGTTTCAAAGGGCACTGTTTTCCTGCATGGGCTTCCTTTATTTCCAACACTGAAGCCGGTGGGGTTGTGCAAGTTTGGTCCCTTGTTTTTTCAGGTCCTGCAGTAAAAGGTGCTACTGGAATGGGGATGGGGTGGTTCCGAGTGTTCATTTCCTGTGGAGAGAAGGTAAAACAAGGCTTGCTTTCTCAGAGCCCGTTCCTTCCTCGATGTGCGTGTGTGTTCGCATCCTCATAGACTGCACATAGTTGCACTACGCTTCTGACTTGTAACGAGTCCCTTTTTTGTGCTTTGCCATCTTTGGTACCGTCTCGAGGTGCCTGTTAGCCAAGGTTGCGCCTAGGTCCGAGAGAAGGATGTAGCCCATGGCCTTGTTTCACGTGTCCAGGAAGAAGTGAATTTCGTAACATTCCCTCTGTCATTCAGGGTTCATCATCTCCAACAAGAATTTAAACTAAAAGCCTGTGTTTCAAAGTCAAATCTTTAAGTCCTCTTTCTCTCTCTTTATACTGATATATCTTTTTTTTTTTAAATCTCAGGGGAACCTTGTAACTTAATTCTGGGGGCAGTTTTACCTGGATGAAAACTGACTGAGGGTGCTGGAACTTGGCTCGTTACCACCAGGGAAATAGGGATGGAGGTTTATGATTGAAAATCATGTGTAAAAAGCTTGTTTTGAATTTCTCGATGGAATGTAAGAGACTCAGAGGGGGGGTTCTGCATCCCCTCAGATACAGTACTTAATATTTACGCTTTCGTTGCACCTTGACAAGCATTTCACGTAGTTATTGCTTTGCTTGAATATGGAAATATGTTAATTACGGCCTTTATTCCGCTGCCTGCTCTTTTCCTCAGCCTTTTCTATTCAACCCTCTAGGTGGCCCAGCACAATGTGGCTTCTTTTCTTTCAATGAGCTCTTTCCACACTAATAGGGTCCAGGGTGATGTGGAGAACCATGTGCACAAAATTGGTGCACCACCCCCCATCCCTTTGTGGGCATGTCAGGTTAAATTCATACCAGCAGGAGGGTCACTGCCATGATTTTCAATAGCGCGAGATGAGGTGATGACTTCAGACAATGGCGCCACACTCTCCAGTTGGAGACACTTGCCTCACCAGTTGCAGTAGTTAATTAATATGCTAAAAATAGAAGCCAGTGATACAAATCGCTGCCTGTTGTACAACAAAGACTGGGCATGTGTAGCTTTGATAGCCAAGTTTATGGTGCTTGTTATGGAGGGAAGTTAGTTTAGAGCTAGAGGCAATGTAAGACTTTCTGGATGCTGAGCTTTAGTCACTCTGGGCCTTTGGCCATTCGCTCGCTGTCTCATTTGCATTATGAATGACATTAAGGGAACTAACAAGGTTATTGGGCATAGAAATGTTCTCATGTGACCCCACGTGGAAGCAGACCTACAGCAGTGCTAGTTGGCAGGGGCACTGTGGCTCTTTATTCAGCTTCCTAGGAAGACGGTTTCTGGGAGCAGATATAAAATCAACCACGAGAAAACCGGCACTGGGATAATGTGAATGTCCTGATGGAAGCCCCTAGCAGGCAGGGAAGTTCAGAGGGAAGGCTGGAGCTGTGTCCTTTTCTCAGCCCGCTGTGACTGGGCGATGCTGAGTGTTGGGTGCAAGACACGTGACCTCCCTGTCACTTGGGGTTCCCCATCAGCTGCTCGGGACTGGGTGAAAGTGCTCACTGGGGGCTCAGGGACCATGCATGAGGGTGTGGGTCCATCCAGGCCTCCGAGTAGGTTCGATTCTGCCTGCTGCTGGCTCAAATTATGGGTGGGAGGGCGTGGGTTTTGTTTCTCACCCACTGCATCATAAGCTTCCACAGCGACTGTCCAAACGCAGGCAGAGTTTGAGGTTTCGTATCATCAGGATGTCTTCTACATCCCTGAAACTCAGGACGAGGAGTGGTAAATTATGGAAGGTCCACTGCCACCTGTAGTTCCCATGAATGACTAGGAGATGGTTTGCTAAGTCCAAAGATCTAAATGTGGGAGTCTCCTCCCAACTCAGGGCCATGTTGGCCAAGCGTAACCTTGTTCACGCCAGTGCAAGCACGTGGGATTCGCTAACTCAAGCAAATTTAGTGCGTACAAGAGGAGAAACAGACCTGTGGTCGTCTTTAATTTGTCCCTTTTCTAAAGAAATTAGTGGGATTGCTGATGAAGCGCTCTGTGTAGGTGACAGCAGATTTTGGGGACGCTAGTTCTCTTCCATAAATGTTCGAACATTCTGAAATTTTATAGTCGTTTGTTACTTGCTCTGTGGACAAAGAAGAGACTCTGGACAGTCACACAGGCACATAAACATTGGCAGCCTTTATAAAAACCTCTTGTTATCTGAGTCCTTTAACCATTCCTGCACTTGATACCGGAATCTGGTCAACTGGTGGCCTAGTGACCATACTTCTTCCACGGGGCCACTAGCTACCAGATGACCCACAGGAACTGCGAGAGGCATCCAGAGCTGAGGCCTGGGGCTCCCCCCATCAGTAGCAATGAGTAAAAAGAGAGGCAAAATGGTGTAAAATGAGGGCCATTTCGAGGTCTTAAACTCTTACTGTATTTATGGCCTGCTCCCAAGGTCTGGCCCACGGTAAGTGCAACATCAGGCTGAGGCGTGTGGGTAGGGCAGGCGCGGTGGGGAGTACACGTGCTGTGCGTCAGGTAGTCTTAGTTATCTTCCCTGGTCATCCATTTACAGGCTGGGTGAGGCTAGCCCTTGCATGCATGTGCATAAACCCACGTGAGGTAAACGTGAAAGCCATTTTGAACATGCAAGTGTAATTCCTGTTACCTGGGCATGTGCTGAGGTCAGCATCCTCAGGGCTGCGTCCTGCACTGAGAAACAGGAATCGAGGCTCTCCTCTTGACTCGCTTGTTGTGGGGGGAATATAACAATTTCCAAGATGATCAGCTTTCCTGTGTACAGTGGGTTCATAGGATCATAGAATCATAGAATGGTTAGGGTTGGAAGGGACCTTAAAGATCATCTAGTTCCAACCCCCCTGCCATGGGCAGGGACACCTTCCACTAGACCAGGTTGCTCCCAGCCTCATCCAGCCTGGCCTTGAACACTTCCAGGGATGGGGCATCCACAGCTTCTCTGGGCAACCTGTTCCAGTGCCTCACCACCCTCTCCGGGAAGAATTTCTTCCTGATATCTAATCTAACCCTCCCTGATTTCAATTTGTACCCATTACCCCTTGTCCTGTCACTACAGGCCCTTGTAAAAAGTCCTCTCCCAGCACCCTTGTAGCCCCTTCAGATACTGGAAAGCTGCAATGAGGTCTCCTCGGAGCCTCCTCTTCTCCAGGCTGAACAAGCCCAATTCTCGCAGCCTTTCGTCATAGGAGAGGTGCTCCAGCCCTCTGATCATCTTCGTGGCCTCCTCTGGACTCGCTCCAAGTGGTCAATATCCTTCTGATATTGAGGGCTCCACAGTTGGATGTTATAATAGTGCATACTTACCATTTTTATAATAATGGCAGTCTGTATTGATAGGGAATTTGCTCCTTCAGAATGGGTGTTAGTGTGATGTCTGCTGAGCTCCCCTGGTAGGAAGGACTGGACTTGGACAGCGTGCAGTGATGGGTGTGCAGGTGGCCACCTTCTGGTGGCTTTGTGGGATAGTTAAATCTGTGTCAGGGTTTCAGCTTCTCCTGTTCTCTCCCCACTTCTAATACCCCTCCTCCAGTCCGTCTGGATGAATGTTTAACGACCTGAGTCCCATTCTTACCTGACTGCTTCGTTCCTCATGGGTCCCAGGGATGTGTTCCAGCCCAGAGAAGAACGTGCCATCTCCACAGCGATTGCAGTGTCTTCCAGCTCAGAGTCTGGGAAGCTTGAGAACAACTCTCCATGTGTCTGAACCTTAGCAGTTACGTAGACATCAGCAGGGTTACAGAATTTATGCTGGCTGAACAGAGAGGACTTGGGATCCGCCCTTAACAAGAGGGCAGTTTTCTGTGACAAATTGTTTCTATAAATAGTCTGAATATGTTGATTGTGGTTTATTTCATATTAAGTATTATTTGGGTTTCCTCTTTCTTCTCCTCTACTCCCCCGAACTGCAAACTGGTGGAGAAGGGTTTGTTAATGCATTATCGTTGGACCAAAGGACTTGCAAACTGAGTTTCATTTTATGAAGATACCGGTAACCTAGAAGATCTCCTGGAAATGGTATCCAGTAAGACATGCCGATAAACCAGTCCCTGTGGCAGGATCGTAAACCATAATTGCCTTATAAAGGTCACAAGACCATTTAGTTTTATTTTTTCTCTGGATCTCCACAGATGTGTAAGAAGAAGTTTTGAAACGTATTTTCAACTTGTTAAAGAAATAGCAGTAATGACAAATGTGATCTTTGTTGTTTTCTTTGATTACGTAGCTATGGGCTGTAAGTGTTCTCACTTCCTAATTGCAAAGGTGGTAAAGATGAATCGTTAATTAAAATCTCTTTCCCGGACAGGTCTTTACATGCTTGAGTTAATTAAGTCTTTAAAAATTGACGTGACTAAAAATCACAGTTTGGTCTCCTTTGTGATGCCTTATTCCAATCAGTTTTGCAGTTACACAGGGAGCTCTAATGTGACGGAGACCCAAATTTCTGACATAAATTAAAGAAAGACTCCTTCTTCTCTTTCCTTTTCTTTAAAACTAAGGAAAGACTATTAAAAATTGTCCAGGTTTACTTTATGCATCAGTGAGAATAAAAGACCGAACCACATTTCCATTTTAATTTGCAGATCTGTTACCCCTCCTTTGACTGCTTGTGATGAGCAGTGTGACTAATGAGCTCCACTGGACCAAAAAGAGTGGCACTTTTCCCTTTCTTCTACTTCCCCATTTTTATTCTTGGGTGTGGTTTTTTTATGTTGCTTGCCTCTGATGTTTTGCAGCTTTTCTGGTCTGAGCTTGGACTAATTCCCAGGTCTGTTCTTGCAGATTTTAACTTTGCCATGTACCCACCGTCAATGATAGCAACTGGAAGTGTGGGAGCAGCCATCTGTGGCCTTCAGCTCGATGACGGGGACAGCCTCACGGACCTCCTGGCCAAGATCACAAACACAGATGTGGTGAGTGTCCCGCATTCATCTTTTCCTTTCACTTCTGAGAGCGTGGTGGAGAACCAGGCTGTCCAACCGGGCCTGATCCTGAAAGCCCAGTGAAGCAAAGGAGCAGGGAGCTCCTGGAGCGAGTAGGGGTAGGCATGGAGCTGCATGTTGGTTGCAGTGTTTTGGATGTCCAAAGCTCCTTGGCCTCCCAAATCAATTTTGGTTTATGTTTTGTTCAGCAGCTTGATGGTGAGGTCCTGCTCTGCCTGTTCCAGCTCTTGGTCAGGCTTGCCATAAGGGAGAGCCTCCTTGGGTACCACCCCAGGCGCTGGGGCAGGCGGGCAGTCAGCATCCCTTGGGGCATAAGGTCAACCAGTATGTGTGCCCGTCCTGTGTTAGCAACCGTGAAACTGCTCTTCTGGCCCTCACTGAGGTATCATCTAAAAATGCTTGGCCTGAAGGAAGCAAATAATGAGCTAATACTCCAGCGCTGGCACAGGGTGAGGCGGGTGCAGGCGGGTCTGTCTGAGTTTCTGTCTGTAACTTCACAAAGCTCGCCCCACGAAGGGCATTTCTTGGCTTGTTAGAAAGTCCCGTCGTCAGTAGAAGGGGTGAATCTGATGGCAGTTCAGTGGTGCTCAGGCTCACTCAGAAGTGAGTTTGCTGGTCTGGGGTCAGCTTCTAGTGGGGACATCAGAAAAACCCAAACCTGGCAGTCTCAGCAGAAAGCTCTGAGAACTGAAAGGAGCATTCACGGTGCCTTCCCCAAGCGGTGATGCTCCTGCTGCTGTGCTCCCGTGTCGGTGAGACACTGCGGGGCAGGTTACACTCCTGCAAATCCAACCCGCTTGGCCTGTGGATAAACAGGAGTTTCATCTCTTGCAAAGGTGATGTGTTTTACTGTGATGAAATTCACTTAGGAGGAATGAAACTTGAGTGATGCTTTCTGAAATGCAGGCCACTTATAAGATAATGCTTTTTTTACCATAGAAGAGTCAGTGTCCAATGTGTCGTCCTTAACATGTGCTAACTATAAATTCTTTCATTGCTTTTACTTTGCAGAGGAAATACTCTCTGCAATTATTAGATCTGTGATATCATTAACAAAAGGTGGTCTGCTTTTTTGAAGAAACTTTATACACTTTGGTTAAAAAGAAAAAGTCCAGTTTAACAAAAAGGGAAGAATTTCACCACTTTTTTCCTTTCAGTCAGATTGAGCCTAATTCTGAAGTGCAGTTCTGGGGCTTCCCATTCCTTTTGCTTGGAACTGAGTTTTGTATAGAAAACAGGACATTTCCAATTTTGAATGCTTACAATGTAAATGATCTTCATAGAATCACAGAACGGTTTGGGTTGGAAGGGACCTTAAAGATCATCCAGTTCCAACCCCCTGCCATGGGCAGGGACACCTTGCACTAGACCAGGTTGCTCCAAGACTCATCCAGCCTGGCCTTGGACACTTCCAGGGATGGGGCATCCACAGCTTCTCTGGGCAACCTGTTCCAGTGCCTCACCACAATCCCAGTGTAGAATTTCATCCTTCATCTCATCCCAATCTCATCTAAATCTACCCTCTGTCAGTTTAAAACCATTACCCCTTGTCCTATCACTACATGCCCTTGTAAAAAGTCTTCATAGCAGAGGGGCTCCAGCCCTCTGACCATCTTTGTAGCCTCCTCTGGACTCGCTCCAACCAGTCTATATCCTTCTGATGTTGAGGGCTCCACAGCTGGACGCAGCACTCCAGGTGGGGTCTCACCAGAGCAGAGTACAGGGGCAGAATCCCCTCCCTCG